TTCTTGGAAAGAGAGTACATTACAAAGGAGATACTTGAAGGAAGGGTTAGAAGTCCTGCCAAAGACTTGGAGAACTGCTATTTGCAGTCTGATATGAATCCAGGCAAGAACCCACGAATGCGTTTGGCTGCAATTTCACTTCGTTTTTAAGTAGAAAAAGTTGCCCGTTATCCTTCCAGGTAGCAGATAATGTCACCAGTTATACACCTGGAAAGATGAGGTAAGAGGGATGTGTGTGTGGGGGGGGGGGGGGGGGAGAGTTCTAAAAGCATTTCCTAGTGAGAACTGTCTACAGGAGAAAGATGTTTTGCACAGTGTCCTGGGTAAGAAATGGCAATGTCATCACCTGTGGTAATGCTGAAGGAAACGTTATACTGTGTGCACAGCTTGCCATGCAACATTACTCATTTGGAAAAAGGCTATTTTTAATCAAGAAAAAGCACTTTAATCAAGGATAGAGTCAGTGATTCAAAAATTTCATGCAGGTGCATGTATTACTTGACTGAAAGCGTTTTCCCCAAAGGTCAGAGCTGCAGGGAGATGTGCATGTCCCATTCCAGCAGTGGAGATAACCTCAGGGTGCCCATATCAGCCTGATGTATTCTGGCTCTTGGCTCAGGGAGCCTCAAAGTCAGAACTTCCCGTGCTAATCCTCTTAACTTTAAACAAATATTTGCCATAGCCTAGGCACACTCAGTAAGATTCATGGCATGCCAAAAAAGACACATTTGCGTTAGGGAGGCTGATTCAGTTTTTCTTTGTATTTTTCCACCCGCGCAAAAGAAATCAGCTGCAGGCCGTACAGCATACGCAGAGCTGGTTCAGCAAACAGCAGGGACACAAGCATGCCCCCAACTCCTGGGGAGCCCTTCCCTCCTTCTCACACCTCTGGGAGCTGCAGGAAGAGCTCACAATGGCCAGAACAGAGAACAGATTTCTGCTTGGCAGGTGAATGAGCGTAACCCAACAGCTCCTATTGAGCAAACCTCCCCGCCTCTCCTCCCCACTCCCCAGCCCCACAACTCTCTGAAATTAAAAAACAACACTCAATCAGCGTTTCCTGGAGTAGCTTGTACTCTGAGTCACTCTCTCCACTGACTGCGGGAAGATTTTAAGATTTCAAGTGTCAGAACTGACACATGCTGCACACTGGAGGCAAACCCCTGCGGTTCCAAAGCTTGCTTGTGTACTTCCAGGAGCACTCAGGGACCCCTTGCCTGCCAGCAGACCTCCCTAGGACAGGGCTGTCTGCCTTCTCCTGGATGCAGCTCCGTCCCCAGGACACTCTTTTCCTCCCAGGCACCCCTCTGATGCTTCTTTAGCTTTCAGCCTGGCACAGACAAGGCTACCTTGCCTCCAAGATTGCCTCCCCGGGATTTAAGTGGCCAATACCATCCAGTAAGTAGGCACTAAAATAGGTTGAGGAATAAATTGCTCTCATTTAACATTCACTCTGAAAAATATGGCTGCATTTATTATGCAGTATATTGTTTTATATACTGTTTTGTTATAATAAGTCATGTTTAAAATGTCATGACATTTAAATCAACAGCAGTAAGAGGGAAATACTGAAAAAAGAACAAGATCAAAAAGGATTTGAAAAAATCCGAGCAAAATCTTATGGACCAAACTCCATGGTTAAAATAAAGTGTTTGTTCCCAGGTGTGGTGGGCAGAGAGGTGCCACCACCATTGGGGTGGTTGTGGTTGGCTACGGCCAAGGGGCTCGGGCACTTGAGGCAATGCCACCACAGTGCTCTGTGTCCCCCTCGTGGTTTTGGTTTGTCTGGGCTGTCCTTTGCCATCGAGCTACCACAATACCCTGAGTAAGTCCTTAGAACTGGATAATGCCATTTGTCTCAGTGAGGAGAGTTATTTCAATGCCTGTGCTAAGTTATATGAATGAACTTTATATAATATAGTATAAAAGCTTTAATGTGGCTTCATAGCCTTTGAGGAAACACAGAGCCTGTCAACCACCGGTGATTTACATGCATAATGGCAGATTTTCACTACAAAGACTTTGATGTTAAAAAAAAAAAATAACTTGGATCAGAGGAGCTACTGTGTTACTGCAGATTTTGTGCTCATCTTTCTATCAGGTCTGAACCCGTATGGAGCATCCCTTGCTGCTGCCTCGGTGCATCCTCATCCCCTGACAAGGGGAACAACAACAACAACTGCAACAACAAAACAGATGGTGATGCAATGAAACATTAAACCCAGTCCCAATACCTGAGCCATACCATGAATATTTCACTGAGGCAGAGGGTAGAAAAGACAACAAAATGATCTTTTCTAGCATCTTAAGGGATGCCTAACCTTGTAATTGCTATAGACACAGAGGACACACAAGATGGAGACCAAGACTACTTAAAAGCTGTGTGTATTTTCTAAAAATTAGTAACTCAATGTTCCCACTACAACCTGCCAATATGAATGACATTCACTCTTGCTCTGAGGAATGAAAGAAACTCTGAGAGACAGACTGCATTAAGAATCTATTGATATTCCACTGACCTAGTGCCACACGAATCAGACAAGTTTTGTCAAGGGCAAATGCCCCAGAGTCTGAAAATTCATTTCTTAAAGTGGCAGCAAAGGAAAAAAGAAATATATACGTATCCTTTACTGTCTAGAATACTTATAAAATCAAGTGTAGGCTTGCATTGTCCTGATACTGCAACAGCAGTATATGACACTAGACCCAGATACATGAACAGAACTGAAGATATCAGATGGTCAATAACCTCTTCAGTTTTCCAAGCAAGTTAGTACTGCCATAAAGCTTAAATGGGATGTTCCCTTAAGAAGTATCACATGGATTTTAACCTAGTTTATTTCATCTTACTACACAAACTTCACAAAGCTAAGTTATCCATAGTCAAAGACTTTCCTTTGCAAGGGATGGATGCAGAAGGCATGAGCTGTGCAGGAGGTTCCCATGGCGCCTTGTACTGATGGGGCACCCAGAACAAAGGAACTGAAAGGAGAGTGAGAAATGACTCAGTACTGTCCAGGCAGGCTTCTTCATCCCCCAACATAAACCTCTGAACTCATACACTAAATCAAATGAGAACAAAAAGTCACAGGCAAGGGACGCAACACAGAAGCAACACAAGAACCCCTAGTTGTTTGGTTTTTTTCTTAGTGAAGCTGAGCCTGGGATAGCAGTGGCTTTTTCAAAGGGTGGAGGAGCGCAGGATGCCTTTATTTGAGGAGGAGGAATATATTTGCTCCTCTTTCAAGCTGCAATGCTGGCCCTTCTGTTCAAATTCTTTTTTCTGGGGGGGGGGAAGACCACAGCTATACCCACGTGAGCCCCATGCTGAAGAGTGGGGATGGCATTATAGCCTGGGAATATAAAATGCTGTAATAGATTTCAGTGAACGGACTGAATTTGGGGAAAATTAATTTTAGCTGGATACATTGTGCAGTTAATTAAGGCTGATAGCTTCCACTAGAAGAAAAGTTTTTGATGAAAATACATTGAAAAATCTTATTAAACTGCCTAGTGAAAAATCAGTTGCCGCAGCCTGTGCTGCATCTTCCCAGACACCTCCATGTTTCTATACAGAAATCCTGTACTGATACCATTTGCATAACAATATTTAATATGCAGATTTGAGTATCATTGCTTTTGGACAGAATTAATGTTCCAACCTTTGAGCACACCCATTTTAGAAATATTCATCTTGAAAACTTGCTGGAACTTATATGCAGCACTGGTGTGAGCGCTGCTCCTGGGAGCCTCATGGGTGAGGTGGTCACGTAAACATGGAAGGGTAGAAGGCAGAGAGGACGTGAAGATGGGAAAAGCAACCAAAATACTCCCACTTTTCAGAGATGAAGTAACTTTTTGTTTTCAGTTCATTTTGTTCACGCCTTAGGAAATGATGAGATCAACAGAAAGGAAAGCAATTTCCAGTCGAAATGAACATAGCTCATGGCTCAACTGAGAAGAGGTGCATATTTTTTCAAAAGCTCCATTCCAATACGTGCAGATCAAATACCCTGAGAACAGACCTAGCATGAGCTTGCATCATGTCAGTTTGCCAGTCTGGGAATTTGCAGGTTTTCTACTTGTTCCTGAGGAAGCCAATTGGGAAAACAGGTTGTACTGCCACATCACATGGTGGAATTGCAAAATCATTTTATTCATTTAGATACAATTCAAAGTCAGGCCAGGGTATCTTGGTAGCAGAACTACTACAGAAGGCCTACCACTCCATTCTTCTCTCCCATAAGCCTTTCCCTTTTTTAGCGAGCCTTACATCAAAACTCCCAGGAGGCATATTCTGTGTTCCCAGGGCTTATCCTGTGCATGTACTAATGTGTACAAAGGTGCCCAAGCTTTCTTCATTCACACCCGTAAGCATTATTATATTACATTTAATTGCAGAAGACATTGTCTTAACAGCTTTATTTCTTATATGACATCTCGTGAATTGCCTTTAAGAAAAGCCATTTACAAGACTTCTATATATATGTAAACTAGTATTCTAATGTCACATTCTTGTTTGCACGTAACCTTGTAGTCACGTCAGCTAATCAAAATGCAAAAATCAAGTGGCCCTTCACAGACTTCAGTTAGGAAACAGTGGCACAGGTTTTCATAAAACAAAAGTGTTTGACTGATACTGTGTAAAATCTGTTCTGCAGGAAAACCAGCATCTTGCCCATCATCTTCTACAAAGTTCAGTATTTTTGTCAGTGCTCATCTCCTTGACTTCTTAATTGTCTGTGTTCACTGACTGTATCAAATGGAGTTTTCCTTTGCCTTTGCTCACTATGTATTACATCTTTTAATCGGTATATATAATTACTTACCACAATCTGCCATGCCAGATTTTCTAAGCATTAGTCTAATTAACTTAAGCTTGATAATTATGTTTCAGATATCATAACAGTACACACAGAACTTGCAGATTATGCCGTTAGCTTAGCTGTTTCTGATAATGATTTTCTCCTATTCTTATTTTCACTTTTCTTTTTGTACAGGGTGGGAGCACAGGGGGGAATAGAAGCTGCTACTCTGTCTAAGCAACTGGCGGTTTCCATAAAAGCAAAATCAGGCTGTTCATAATAACAAATCATCAAATAAGGCAACACAAATGAGAACAGATCCAAAAGGAGAGGATTTCATCTACTTATAAAAGTAGAACGTCAGTGAAAGAAGAAACCTGAGCTTCCAACAGCACAAATCATAGAGGATTCAGACACAGTCTTGCAGCACTTATGGCCTATTACAGAAGTACTGAGACTTTCCACAGGTCTCCAGCCCAAGCTATTCTAATTATACGCCTGTTGGCGACAGCATGCCACCAGGGAGGCAATAAATAAGTGATAACATGCATGGGACCTGGCACACATACCTAGCCAGCACAGAAAGATCATCCCTCACAAAGTGATGTGGGCCATCTGGGCATATGAAATATGCAAGCCTGAGACCCCGAGTAACAGTAAATAGATGCAGAGAACACTTATGTCACAGTAATAAAGGAAAACAAAAGAAATCAGTAAGAGGTTATGGATTTTTATTTGGCTTTTTGGTGCTATACTTTTCTTCTCACTTCTGTCCAATTTGCTTTTTTTTCTTTTTTCTTTCTTTCTACCTTTTGAGCCCATCTGTTTGAACTGCTTGAGTGCAGCGGTTGAAAGAAGCTGCCATGCCTATTCTCAGAACTACACTGAGAACGTTGCATTTATTCTGAAGTTACTGGCAAGGATTTCATCAGCTACAAAACACTGAACCACTCCTATTTTTAATGCAGACTTAATAGATATGGAGAGGACAGAAACATGCAGTTCCTCTGCCAAAGGTTCCTCATTTCAGCCCTTATTTTCAGGTGCCTGAAGGGCTGTTACCCTTGACAGAAAAATTACCAGCAGTCAAGGAAGTAATCAGAGTAGCCAGTCCATAAATAAGCATAGCATAAATCTGAATATTAGTAATTAGCATTTGATTCAATCAGACCAGAAGTGTTAGACCACTGTAGCAGCAATTCCTTATAGGAAACTATTTAACGTTCCAATTATCTTTAATGAATTAACCTCAAAGTATGGCTGAGGTGCAACATCCTAAGAATCCCTTTACTCATCTGCAGTCCACTTGCAACTAATTTCCCTTCACAACCCTACCTCAATTAACATTTTTCTGTATTTCATACATGAATAACTGCAGTACTGAAATACGCAATCCTTTCCCAAATTTAATAGCTGAGATACCTTAATTTTGATTCTGCAAATGAAGGAAAATCATTTTCTGCTACTATCTCAAACCAATTAATTTTTTTTTTTTAAACTGACTTTGCACCTGCTATGTATGTCTGAACCAGAAAGGTCCTACATTTTTCACATCATAATTACTTGGGAATGATCTGTTAGGCAACACTCCGAAGACAAGAAAAGGTCTTAAAAATCAGCAGATTTTTAAAGTTTACTTTATTTTCCATCATTAAAATTTTTAAAGAATGTTTTATAGTAAGAAAGAAAAACTCAACTGTCATCATTTTAAATTGTCTGAATTTTAAACTCTTGAGAAATGTAATAATCCAGGAAGGAAACAAGAATACAGTCTTACCAGCCAATGTACAACAGCAGTGACATAATTAAATAAAACCACTTTAAAAGAGAGATCACTTGCATAACATAAGGTGCATTATGTAGCATGGGTAGAATGACGGACAGCTAACTGCATGAGCTCAGAGTTCTCAAGTGCCCTAAAACAGGCAAATGTGTGTTCAGTCTTAACCTGTCTACGCAGCAGGGCAACAGCTGGACCTCATGATCCTTCCCCATCCTTGCTGTGTGGTGAGGAAGCTCTTGCTTTGTGCCATGGCTGTGGCAAAAGGAGCAGCATTCTCTAACAGATTACAAATCTGACATTATTTTCCTTTTCACTGTATGTTTGCAGCATTATTTTAGCATTAAGAAAAATGAACACATATGCAGATAACAGCATCCACAGAGCAATATGGCATAGCTGTTGTGCTTCTTACAAGCATCCAATTTAACTTCATCATCAAATACCACACAGTGTTTCAGTCTTTACTGATTTTAACCTCTGTTTACAGCTAGGCGTTGCGTGCTGTGCACATCGTCTAGTGCTCACTATGGAGGAGAGCATTAGCAGTAGAAAGTCACACAGTGACACAGTACATGAGTTCTTTTTTCAGGACTGTTGGATTTTGTTCCCTATCTGACACAGCCACATGATGCCACAGAGCTTCACTGCCACTTCTCTGAGCCACTAACGCCATGGTGAAGTGACACAGACAGGGACACAGACATAACAGTGCTTGTCCACACAGCTACATAAACACACTTTCTTTTGTATATTAATTTCTATAACAAATAGAGATATGCTTGGCCTGTTTGCTTACACGAACAAATCTGTGCCCTAAAAGATGATATTCTCATTAAATGGAGTTGCGTGCCCAAATCTTTTAAGTGCTGTTTACTTTGCTGGCAGCACAGCCAGCATGCTACAGAGCATAAATCTTTCGCTATTGCCACTCACACTGAGAGCACCCCATAGTGAATTCGGAACGCTTAAAAAAATTAAATAATCCAATCAGAGCAGAATATATATTAGTAATCGATAACTGCTTAATTTAGCTAACATTGTGAACACTTTCTCTCTAACCCTTTAACTGCTTGCAGAGAATACCAGATATCATAACATTTTACCCTCAACTTAGAGCTTAGTTTTTTAATCCAGCCTTTTTTTTTTTCCTTTTTTTTTTAAAAACAGCATGTTTCACTTGGGATTAAAAAATAAGTAGTAATGAAAAACAGAATTGTGGATTATTTTGTGTTGGAAAAGACCTTAAGACCATCCAGTTCCAACTTTCTGACACAAGCAGGACTACTGCCTACAAGATGATGTTCCCCAAAACCCCATCCAACCCAGCCAGGGATGGGGCACCCCAGCTCTCTGAGAAGCCTATGCCAGCACCTCACTGCCCTCATAACGAATTTGTTGCTCACATTAAATCTAAACCTGCCCTCTTTTAGTTTAAAGCCCTTATACCCCTATCAACTACAGTCCTGGATAAAAATAAACTCCTTGGTATCATCCTCTTGCCATTACTTCTGTTTTTAAGCAATACCACACTGCATTTATGCATGAAAGCTGTTGTTATTTCAAGGACTGTTTCAGTGTTCTACTGACGCTGTTTGTCACACATTCATTTCCTGTAATGGTTCTGGCTCACTCGCCAAGAAGGGGAGAAATTCTTTACATCTAATAGGCACTTTTATATCTCTGGGCAATTGTCCAGGGCCAGGCCTTTGTCTGATGCTCTACCTGAGCTGATGCACCCTCCTGACCCCTCTGCATCTTCTTACAACACCAGAGCCAGCCAGGCCAGCCTTGCTTCCAGGAAAACGCTTGTAAGTCCACCAGCTGCCTTACAGATCAACTGAACCCAGAGGGCAGCAGGCTGCCACCTCCTATCACAGTTTACTGGCACTGCTATCTGAATTGATATATAAATATATTTTAAGGCTCTAGATGAAAGTGCCAAGCATCTAAAGACATTTCAGGAAATAGCCCTGAGAATATCAGAAGAGTTACAAATAGTGTTAGGAATTATCTCCATGACATGGAGCAAGTCAAGGGTTCCATCTTTCTGCCTCATCTCTGGGATTTGGGGGCATCAGTAAAAATGTGGATAAATGCTACTGCAAAACCAGTTTGAGTTCTCACCTGAAAAATATCTGCTGAACACTAGCATGGTGAACCATCCTGGGTTCAATCTCTAATAATGAGACAAACGTTGAGAATTATCTAAAGAAAACAAGGAAGGTTTTACCAGCTTACTACAGTAAGCTTATCACAAGAACACAGATTTTGTGCTGATTCTGCTACCAGTAGGAACAGGTCATTATCCCCACAACTTGAACAAGAAAAAAGGAAGACATTTTCTCTAGATAACAACAATTTTGTGAGTGAAACTGAATCTCTCATGCCCCAGTTCAGGAAGGTATTTAAGTTCTCTCTCAACACTGAGTGCATCTAAGATCCATTTCAAGTCACTTAGGTTGATCACTTAAATGCCAGAATGAGATTGCACTTAATACCAGACACCTGTGTAATTAAACACACACACACAAACACACACACACTTGAGCATGACATGCAGAGCTGGATGTGTTTTACTCACTACCCGCATTTGAGGATAAGAATTCTTTCTTTAATTAAAGTGAGGGAAGACGTATGGATGCTCACATTTTATGGCAGTGAGAGCAGTACAGGAACAGAGATTAAGTCATGCTGTGAGTCAGAAAACTGTGCAGAGCCAGATTAAAACCACGGTAATAATTATGACAAATCAGTTGAAATTATTGCAGAAAATGTTATCTGCCAGTTCAAAGCTGAACTTTCTGACAAATTTTAGAAAAATAACATTTTTCCTTCATTCTTGGCATCTCCTCCTGTATCTTCAGTAGCATTTACTGTGACAACATTCAGTTTTTCAATGCCATTTTTGGGGAACTCTGGCTATAGAACATTTGGTATTACTTGTAGTATTCTTGTGCCTCAACACAGTAAATACATGTGGCACCTAAGAGGTAAAAAGAGACGTTGCAAGAGAGTATCATGTGTAATGACTACTCATAGTATCATTCTTATCCATTAGCATTGTCCTTTGACCCACTGTGATAATTGGGGTCTGCAGGTCTGCCATAATTGTAAGCTCAGCATGGGAAAATGCAAGGTTTTGACCAATAGTCTGAAAATGTCATAATTTTTGTTGATACAAACAGTGCAGAAGAGGAGGAGCATGAATTCATCCAAACAAGAGAGCATTGTATGTAATCTCAGACTCACAGCTAACACAATAAAATACAGAGAATTCATAATCAGCACATTGGCAATTACCCTGAATTGGTGAAAAGAATAATATCTACTCCAATGCTTCCATCTCACAGTGGAGATCCTAAATATGTCAGCCTTTCCCTACTTTGTTTTCCATTATGTTCTCTCACATCCACTTGATCTGATGCTCAACCCAACACTCCACAGCCTCTAGCTCAACCAAAGCCAATGCCTAATTCAAAATGATCGAAGCCCTAACCAAGCACATGCCCAAAACCTGGAGAAGCAAGCCAGAGCCCAGAAGGTTGAACTCACAAACTGCCATATCCTGCCATGAAATTGGGAAAAAACACAAATAACTACAGGATGGCAGGCAAGGAAGATCGGTAAGAGAACAGCTTTGGGAAGGGTCTGGGAATTCCAATGAAGAAAACAAATTGGGCAGAATCAATTCATGGTGCCCACAGCACAATTTATCCTAGCAGTGTTTCAATGGCATATTCAAATGGAAGCTCTGCACACCACTTAATATTGATGTCAGAAGTGACATGTGGAGCTGATTAGATATATTTATCTGCAGGAAGAGGTATGTGCTTCCATTTCTGCCTAACACTTTAAAGCTGAAGAATCCTGTTCCTTCTACATGTCTGCAAAGGCAGTGGCCTTTTGCAATACCTAGAGGTCATATTTGTA